CAAACAAACAAACTTATCAAAGGTACTCCACTATTAAGATTGGTCCTATTAAGATTGACTGTATAATCCACTTAATTACATTTCTCTAACCTCTATTGATATACACCAGGTTCACACCCTATCTACCATCCAGATTAGAAATATTATCTTAAAAAAAGTGTGTGTGTGTGTGTGTGTATATATATATATTGTTACGCCTCTGTGTTCGTTTGTTAATTTTCCATAAAAATTCTTTCCGAAGAAACTTTAGCAACACAAGTCCTTTCTTAAATAAAACTAGTTTATTCTTTCTCAATACAACTTTGCAATACACTTAATTTCCACAGTCACGCTATAACTTAAACAAACGCTATAATTCACAACGAACGATTCACGTGCTTGACTCAATTGTCCGTTTCTAGTCTCTATCTCTGTCTGCAATTCAATTCTGATTGATTAGTCTCACGTTAACTGGCGCACTTATATACAAGAACAGAGGGCGCCTGGCACAAATTGGATTATTCGTGATATTCCCCGATCCTTCGAGAATATCATGACGTGTTACCAGAGTCACTTGACCGCCGCTATCGTAACAATATGTAATGGTGGAGAGTTATGTAAGTACTTTTGCAACTTAGTGGTGAATTGTAAAGTTTTTAGAGGTATTCGACTTTATCTAAAAGCTCAACCACACAAAATGGTTGTGTCTTATGATGTAGAAAATATGTTTGGGATGCCATTCATCCAGTGACGTAGCAAAAGGAGGGCAAGGTGGCAGTAGCCCCCGGGCACAGGTGTGAAGGGGCGGAAAATTTCCTCTGGCCTATAATGCCTATTAATTAATAATTACGCCCTCTCCTAGGATATATTAAACTGCCCTACGTAAGTAAATACGACACAGTCTTACGTTATTTGTGTGTATTACACTTGCATTTTTAACTTTTAAAAGCCGCCCACTGAAATACAGTGAGAAGGGATTGACGTATAGAAGTAAATTACACAATTCCATCATTCATCTGTAGATCAAATTCAAGTCCTAGAATACAACCCTATGTCCATCATCATACAAATTGTAGCCTATTGTTACGTCTCTGGTCGTTAGTTAATTTTCCGTAAAAATTCTTTCCGAAGAAACTTTAGCGATACATGTCATTTCTTAAATAAAACTGGTTTATTCTTTCTGAATACAACTTTTAAATTCACTTAATTTCCACGGTCACGCTATACCTTAAACAAACGCTATAATTCACCACGAACGACTCATGCGCTCGACTCAATTGTCAGTCTCTCTCTGTCTGCAGTTCAATTACATTACATTGTTGCCGTCACTTCTTACCGGTCTTATATACACAAGAATACCGCATATCTTGTAAATGCTAGAGATTTCACGAACCTTCGAGAATATGACGTGTTACTAGCGTCACGTGACCCCCGCTGTCGTAACACTATATTATAGACATACTTAGACCTCTACTAACTATTAAACTAGGCATTGCACTG